TGCTAAAGCTGCTGTGTTATATTACTCTTCTTATATAATGTCTTAAGCTGGTAGAAATAGAGCCTTTATTGTTTAACAACAGGCTGTTAGGGAGGGATTTCAGCCACCAGGTATATTTCTGATTTGCTGATCAGGCTTGTGACATGTTATGAAGGATATAATTGGATTGGACAAATCAACAGCCAGCCTCCCCTTAAGAAACTCTTCCCCTATCTCCACATTCTATAAATCTTTTCAAAGTAGGAAAAGCAAGAACAACAAAAATTGCTGGCCTAACAATACCAAAGTAAGAAGGAAAGATCTTATTTCAAACCACACACTTTGCAAGGAATTCTGCACATGAGGGTCAGGAGATTAGTTTGTTGCCGTGAGGTGTTGTAGCTTTTGTTGTTTTGGATGTTGCGCTTGTAGGCCATTTAGGTACATGGATCTAGGGTTGCACATATTGTTGCCTGTGTTTATTTTTTAAATGTTTTATATGCTGTTAGCTGCTGAAAGTCACTGTGTGAGTTGGGTGGCCATATAAATCAACTAAATAAGAAGATAAAATGTTCTGAAGCACTAGACTATTCCAGAAGCTAATATTTAATTGGTTTTCTTAGACTGACTTTATTGGTTTTATCTGGAATTTTTTTTATGCCATTGTTGCTTCATCTACTACCACTAACATAGATGAGTCACCCTTTATAGTTATTAGTAGTACCAATAATAATAGAACAAACTGTAAGTTTTGTAATTGTATCACTAGTTTCTTTCAGAATGGAAATAGTGTTTTCTGCATTTAGGTAAGAAAAATCAGATATACAGGTTTTAGATAGGCAGTACCAGACTCAGCCATTGTATTTATGTGAAGGAGTTGGGTCTCCTGGTGGACAGCTGCCAAAAAAAGCCAATGTCATCTTGGGCAGCATCAACAGAGGTATAATATCAAGATGATGGGGACTGATTGTTCTGCTTTGGGCTGCAGTGGCCAGACTGCACCTGGAACACTGTATTCACCAGTATAGTCATCACAATGCAAGAAGAATGCTGAGGAACTGGAAAGAGAGCAGAGCAGAGCAAACAAAATTAATCAAAGAACAAAATGCCTTCTCTGCTGAGGAATCTTGGAGTCTTGAAACCTACCTCATTTTTAACCATGATAAACTGGTCTTTTGGAACAGAAAATATAGTGTGAGCATTTAAAGGAATCATCTGGCAAGGTGCCAAATCCAGCTCCTGAATATCTAATTTCATCAGCTATTTTAAATTTGATAGTTTGTAACAGAAATTCAGTAAATAATATCTATATTGTCATTGTGCTATGCAACAACTATGTATTGTTTTTCAACCAAGCAAAATGGCTTGGGGAGAACACTATCAGTTCTGCTCACTATAAAATGAAAATGTAAGGGGCAAATCAAATGTAATAAAGCAGCAGCTATCTGTATTTATACATTTGCATATAAAATGATAGTGATATAAAAGCCATACAAGTTACTTTTATGTGTGTATTCTTCATCCAAGCACATGCACACACACACACACACACACACACACAAGTATGAACACAAATCCTCCTTTCCCAAATATGCTCATTACAAGCAGGATGCAATTGAAATGGGGAAGCCATTCATTCATATATATCTATAGCTATAGACATGATAGTGTGTATAACATCTTCAATTTCTTATGTACATACTTGTCTTGTGACTCACAGTGGTTTACAGCATACCAATATAAAAATCAGCATCTAGTTAAAACCTGAAGCAGATAAGTAAACAAGAATAAACTAGAACAATAGCAACTCACAAATATACACAGATATCCATCTATATTGGTAGCACTAGTTTTCAAAAGCTGAACAAAATAGTTCCATTTTAACTGGAAAGATGTCAAGGTTGGGGCCAGTCTGGCCTCTGAGAGAAACTAGTTCACAAGGTTGGAGCCACCACAAGAAACACCAGCTCTGAGCCCTCACTGTCCTAACCTCTCATTTAATTAAGGTATTTAATATCTCTAGCAGGAAGTGTAGCAGATGGATTGGTTCTATGTAGAAAAGTCAGCCATTTAAGTACCCATAAGCCAAGCTATGTAGAAGTTCAATGGTAAAAACCAGCACTTTGAACTGTATCCTGAAATTTGTTGAAAGCCAATGCAATGGATCTGACTTGCCAGCATGCAGATAGCTGAATTCAACACCAATTGCAGTTTCCAAGTCTTCTTCAGGGTAGCCCATGCAGAATACTACACATTGCACAATAATATTACATTAATATAATATAAATACCAACAATATTCCTGAGGCTTGATCCTAAGTTCTAAGGGGACTCAGTATGAAAAAGCCTTGTCTATCATAATAATTTAACTTTGTCTTAAGGGAAATGGCAGATCAGAAAGTGAATTAGGCAAAGACTCAGTTGGACAAGTAAACACTTGGTTGCTAGCATATGTGGAAGGAATAGGTACTTCATTTTTAATGCCAGTATTAAACCCTTTGTGGTGATCTCTGTATATATGTGTCTGCTACTGAGTGAAGAACTAGAGTTATGGCAAAGTATTTTAAAGGAGCACTTTTCAAAGCAACGAAGCACAAGTGAAGCAGCCCTCATTGAAGCACAAAAACAGCCATTCCTCCCCCAGTCTTGCACAACTGCTTTGAAGGCTGTCCCTGGTTATTAGCATGTGCTTGTGAAGTCACAAACCACATTCCACTGGGACCACCAGTGAAATGAAATGAAATGAAATGAAGTAGGTGTGCACATGCACACAGACAGCAAGAGATAGTCTTCTAAACCACCCAAGATTGTTAAGGTCTTACATACTGCTATTTTATAGCAGTAGTGCATTTCAGGACAAAAAATTCCTATGGCACAAATGAATCCTTGATCCAAACCAAGTGGTATTTTTCAAGACAGCCATGTGGCCAGACATGGCAAACTCCAAATGTTTAATTGCTGAAAAGATTTATATTTCCTGAACAAGCAGTCAACACTACTAAACTTTTCCCCGTTGCTCATGCATTTTTCATTTGGAATCCATTGAGAAATACTATTTTGCAATTTTATTAGGTTGGCCTTTAAAATCATTTAGATTGCATGCCTTATAAATATGCATAGGATTCAAATGAAACAAATGATACATGTAAGGATATGACAATCACATTACATAAAATTAATATTTTATTTTAATTAAGAAAGGATGGGTCTTAATGAGCCACAGAATAAGTGCCAACATTTTAAACCCTTCTCAGAAATGTATAGCCCTTAAAGTGCACTGATTAATAGTGAATTTAATTACAGCTTGTTTACACAGATAAGAAATCACATTAGTTTTAAATATGATTGCATGTCTACCTTTATTTCTTATAGATACAATGTAAAAGGGTGGGTTGTAAAACAAAAATATTCATGTTTGTTAATGGTATTTCAGATTTTTGTATTTTATTTTTAAAAAATATTTTCTCTTTCAGATATTGACAGAACGTAAGGATTTATGGACAGTACCTTCATGCCTTAGAAGGGGACATCTAGCTGTGTAAAACACAGTCTACAGGTATGGCCATGGATCAAAATATGCAAGATAGACCCTGCTTCTTTTGTATGTGCCTGTGATGCCAGCACACATACAAAAAAGGTAGGGCTTGGATGACACTACTGTGCCCACTAGCTTGTAGATTTTGATGTGGCTGCACATCCTGGCTGTATGAGATTAAATAACACTGCTTGAATTCAGTTGGTGAATATACAAGCACAGTATGGGTGTGTATGCTCAAGATGGCAGTCAGGGTAAAGCAATTGTTTTTGTTCATGTATTAACGTTGCAGGCACAAAAAAAGGGGCAAAGCTTCAATTAGGGGATATATTAGTTCTAAATGGGATTTAGCTCAGTTGTTGGAATTTTTGTAAATCCATCCCTTTCTTCTAAAAGAAACTTTGAGAATCATGCTTGGAAGGAATCATGTTCAGTTTTAGACAGCTGCCAAAGAGCCTAAAAATAGGTTTTTGTGCGATTAGAACGAGGTCCATTTGCAAGGAAAAAACCCTCCTTAATGGTTCAGTGGGAAAAATAGAAGGATCAGTGGGGCCCACCAGTGAAACTACATTCTGGTGCAACATGAGCTTCTTGCTGAATCAAATCATATTGTGACTGGGACTTGCAAATTAGACACATCATGATATTCCTCATAATAACAATTTAATTTCATGCCAACTCTAACTTGCTCCCCTTGCACTGTTATGAGGTAAATCCTTCCTCTGAAGTCAAAATTGGCCTTCAAAGGAAACCCTTCTCTAGTACCAAAAGGGAATTCCCTCTCCCCAGGCAATTGCTAATTTTAAAAAGGGAGTAGAAGATACAGTTACATTACTTCTTTCTGCCTGATAAAATCTAGGTAATTATTAATCCCATTCCAAGTTAATGTGATTTGCATTGTTTAAAAAATACATATGTTAAATCAAAGAGGCAATTAATACAACTAATTTGTTACTGAAACAAAATGTTGAGATTATTGGCTTGGCTCAATATATGGTGGGCATTCCACTTTTCAATGATATACCTCTGATAGAATTCTGGTATAACTGTCTATTTTTTTTTCTGTCACAAAACAAAAAGCCCTAAACTTTAGCAATCATGACCAACACTTCTAATTTTCTCAATAATTGAAGTTCTCAGAGTAGATTAAAGAATTTCTTAAAACTTTAAAAACAGAAAGACAAGAACAACTGAAAACAAGAAAATACACTAATAAGTAATATAGGAATTATGTAACACAATCCAGTCTAATGCAGATGCTTAACATTAAAACATTAAAAAGCAAAGTACTGTATATAAATACCTGAAAGAACATCTTAAATTATTTCTAGGTGATCAAACCTTTGCTTACTAGTTTAAGAAGATATTTCACTGACTGAACAAAAAATTATCTTAATTAGAAAAAGAACCAAGCAATCACATGGTTTTCCCCCCTTGTAGCATTGTTTTATGCACAGCTGATGAAATTCCAATGGAATGTAGGAAACTCAGATTTTGATTCTGAAGCCATAAGCTACCATGGACTTGTGGTATCTTGACAGGTGAGAATAAATTGGAATATCCACAACAGTTGCTTGATATGGAACTTTCTGCAGAAGTTTCTTCCGGTCTTCCCCATGGCAATGCCTCTCACTTTTGTCCAGAAACAGGGTATCTTCAAGGGCACCACTATACAGTTCGATCTGGTCAGCATGCTAATAAAGGGAAATCAAACAATTATTTTATATCTATGCAGAAAGGGCCTTCCAATAATGACATGATTAACATTAGTATTTATTTTGCAATAAAATATTTTGGACACAATTGAATGGATAAAAAAATTATGTATGTAAACTCTATTAATGTTACAATCATTTCAGTCAGATGAGTCTCTGGGTAGTGAAGAACAAAGCATGTAAAACAGAAACCAGACCATAAAATATACCACTATTACTATTACTAATCATAATTCAGTATTAGTATTAGAAATCCATGAGTAGAGAAAGATTATAATGGATTAATCTGAGTGGGCTGTATGTGCCCATGAGACCTAATTTGAGAGGGCTTAATTTCAAAAGCTTCCTTGAAGCATGTGATGCCCCCAATTAACCCCCCCCCTTGGTATAGTCAAACTTCAAAGTATCATTCATTGTTAAAAGATTCACTGACGTCCATGGCTGTGTGCTCTTTGAAAAGGAAAGGTGGTATATAAATAAAATGATCATCATAATTAGCTTTGGAAGTAGAGATGCATTCTCTGTGTGTTCTCTTTGGATGGAATCATAGACTTGGAAAGGTCATTGACGCCAACTCCTTGCTTGTATAGGAATTCAAATTAATGTATCCCACATCTCTCTGGATCATTGGTTTCATTATCAAACTGATTTTTCTGAAAGTTTTTTCCTCCTAACATTTAACTGGAATATGTCTTCCTATATCTTCAGTCCTTTATTCTATGTTCTATGGAATGAGAGAGAATGGTCCTGAACTTCTTCTGTACAACATCCTTTCAGGTATTTGAAGAGTGCTATCATAACCCTCTCAACTGCCTTTTCGCAGTCTAATTCTACCCAGCTGTTTAAATCCCTCTTTGTAGGGCCTCTTTTTGTTGTTGTTGTAGCTCAGTGTTGACTCCTGGCAACTGCCTGGTCAAGTTCCTGCAGTTTTCTTGGCAGGATTTTGGAAGTGGTTTGCCATTGCCTGCTTCTTAGGGCTGAGAGAGAGTGACTGGCCAAAGATCACCCAGCTAGCTGGCTTTGCACCTAAGGTGGAACTAGAACTCCTGGTCTCCCAGTTTCTAACCCAGTGCCTTAACCACTACACGAAACTGGCTTTCTTATTCCTCTTCCTCTTCTGTGTTCAGCTCAGCACCACTCTTGCAGGACAGCAGTTTCCAGCAGCACCAATGAGGAGTGGACCTTGCCACCATCCAAACTGGCTGTCTAGTCCTAGGTTAATCACTATTGCCCTTCCCTAAACCTCTTCCAGATTCTCTGAATTCTCCTTAAAATGTGATGCCCAGAACAGGGGACAGTACTCAAAGTAGTATCTCACCAAATCAGAGTATATGTGCATACATATCTGTTTCATGAAAGATGGGCAATCAGATATCAGAGAGACAGCTGGTCTAGTGGTGAAGGCACTAGCCTAGAAAGCAGGAGACTATGAGTTCTAGTCCTGCCTTAGGCATAAAAGCTGGCTGTGTGACTTTGGGCCAGTCACTCTCTCTCAGCCCAATTCACCTCATAGGGTGCTTGTTGTGGGGAAAATAGGAGGAGGAGGGAGTATTAGGTATGTTCACCGCCTTGAGTTATTTATAAAAATAAGAAAGGTGGGATAAAAAAATCTAGAAAAAAAATGGTAAAAAGCCAAATATGTTTGCCTTGGACATGAGGCTGAACATGATTCACTTCCCCTTTAATAGAAGAAAGAATGAGCTATTAAATTTGATAGGATTCAGTAGTTACTTTGTAAGTATTTATTGCATTTTTAAAATGAAGCCCCTGCTGCTCTGCATAAAGAAGTAATTGTTTCCCTGGCTTCCTACCTGCAAATGTAATGTTCGGTACTTCATATCTTGTTTCCAAGGCATCACGTACAGTTTTGGAATCATCCCATGTTTGCATGAAAATTTTGGTAAATGGCAGTGAATAAACCTGGGAATACAATGAGCAAGTAAGGAGGAAAATAAATAAATAAATGAATCAGCATCACTCATGTTTTAAAACTTCTTCAAACGCAGAGAGAAAAATACAACAATCCCCATTCTCTCTCATTCTCCACTACTACTAAGAGTGCAAATTGTGCCTATAAAGTGCCTATTAATTAATTAAGTAATATAAAAGGATTGATACATGGTTTAGTTTTAAAACCAGTATGATGAAGTTAGTAGCGTCAAGACTGGAAGCCATGGTGTCTGCAAGGGAGGTCCAAGCAGCAAATTAACAGTCGTGGCACTGTAATCAAAGCCCTGTCCTTTTACACTTGGGTGCAGTGTCAACACACATACAAAAGGCACAGAACTTGGATTGCAGTGGCACATCTGCCATCCTGTTTCTTTTCAGCTCCCCCCCTCCACCCCCCCCCCCAGGACGCCCTAAATGAAAGCTCACTTTGGGCTAATCACTTTTTCAGTCAATCTGCCTACTGCAGTTCTTGGGAGGATAAAATTTAGATAGAAAAGGCTATCTGCAATACTGCTTTCAAATCCTTGGAGAAAAAGTGAAATATAACCTTTGTTGTACTCAAGCCAAGCATTTTTTCCTAGCATCCGAGGCCCCAATATCGGTTAGGTTGGAAAGCAAGTCATCATTTCAGTTCAAATAATATGCTACATTAATACTTTCAATCTCTCCAGGGCATTGTGGAAATAATAATGGTGGTGGTCTTAGCTGCTGTCAGAATAATGCCCTAATCAAACACTTTTGCCCCAATCAAACATTTTTGCTGTTGGATGTTTTTCCAATTTAAACCCCAGAAAATTTCATAGAAAATAGCCCAAGCAAAGCAAACAGCATTTTCTGTTTAGTGAAATGTGGTCATCAGAAGGTCATTGAAATGAATAGGACTATGAATCGTGGGTAGCTGATTCATACATTACAATAGGTCATGGTTTGTGTTCAAAATGCTTATACTTGTGGCTATATGCCCAGTGTTAGTACTCTGTCATGGATTTTTCAGGCATGGATTGGCTAAGAAAGGTATCATACAACTCTGAAGGAGAAATCTGCACTTGATTTGTAACAATGGACTGTTCATATGTATTGCCTGACAACATTTAAGTTAGGGATTTGTTTTGTTTTGTTTTTTAAGCAAAGGGACAAAGAACTTTCTAGGAATCTGGTCAAAGCTTTTGGAGTTTCATTAGTACTGTATTTTGCCAGGGACCCATTTTTCTTATTTTATTTTGTCTTCCTTTTTAATAATGATGATGAATTTGAAACTATATTATTTCATTAACCCTGTTGTATGCATACATATTTTCCCTTTAGTAATTGTGTGTTCATGTGTATATGTATGTGTGTCTGTGTGTGTCATGATTTGCCAAGTAGCCTTTGCTGACATAGCACACCAGGCTATTACCATGGGTCAGAAACCACATGACAGGGTTCACAAACATACTGTGCCAAAACCAAAGCAATCACATTATGACATCACATTTTATGTAAACCTATTAATTTCAATAGGACATTACCTTGAGTAATTAACTTCAAAAAACCAGAAGTCTTAACATATGTGTTGTAGATTTGAAACCAATGTGATATGAATGGTATATAATAAATATGTCTGTTGATCTATATACCAAAGTTTTAAGAAAGTACATTTATGTTCATATCTCTTTCAATACCTCCATTTCACCTTCTTTACAGCATAGCAGCCATACAGGGGATTTAATGGAAGATTGAATCATAAACAAAATGTTTTCCATCTACCATTATCAACTAACACATCTTTCCTTTTCTCACTACAGTTTGTTCTCTTCTTTAATGCGATCTGTTAGACTACTAATAAAATGCAGAAAATGAATCCTTTAATTATAAATCTCTTCAGTTTCATCTGGGTATTCAGATCTTATGAAATATGAAAATTATGTGTTGGTTGAACAAATGATGGATATGTGAATAATGAAACTTGGTATCTCAACAAGTCTCCATCCAATCAGTAAGTTTTTAAATCAGCTTCAAAATATCCATCTTTACCTATTGTACAGTTCTATATAGATTTGCTTAGAAGGCCCATTATTCAAAGCTAATCAAGGTATTTTAACATGTGAGGCTAAAGTCCTTAATAAGTCTGTAAGTCTTTGTCCACATCACCAAATGTTACAATTCAGTTACAGAGTTAGCATTCATTTCAGTTGTCCCTAACAGAGTGCCCCAGGGACTATAGGATTTTTCAGAATATCCTTCTTTGAGGTCATTGAGAAAACTGCCCCTCCAAGGTCAGGGAGAAAACTCTGAGCTTAGAGCTGTTTGGATTCTCTCTCCACCCCCACCCACCCCCCAACTCCAGTTTCTACAAAAATAGTTATAGTCTTTATTCTGATCTTGGAAAAGGCTAAATGGAGGAGGCTGCGTGGTACAGATTTATCTGCCCTTTAGTCACACTCCAATGGGTTATGTGAGCTTTTTATCTACCATAAATAGGCAACCCGATAGCCTTTAGATGCTTTGAACCTCAAGTTTCATTCACCCAATAATGAAAGAGAACACACAGACACACACAGACACCCCCCCCCCCACCAC